CCTCCACCACTGGCTGGGGGGCCACATACAACGGGCACCTAGTGTCGGGGGTTTGGACGGGCCCCCAACTGCACTGGCACATCAACCACCTAGAGTAGTTAGCAGTACGCCTTGCCTTGAACCGTCTCAGAGGGTGCTTACGAGGCAAGCACGCGCTGGTCCGCACGGACAACACTGCGACCGTTGCGTACATCAACCGACAAGGTGGTCTATGCTCCCGTCGCATGTCGCAGCTCATCTGAGTCAGAAGCATCTGAGGTCGCTTCGTGCCATTTACATTCTGGGCCTGCACAACCGTGCAGCCGACGAGCTGTCACGAGCTGCGTTCCCTGGAGAGTGGAGACTCCATCCCCAGATGGTAAAAAATAAAAAATAAAATCCCCAGTGAGCCTTCTCGCACAGACGCTGTGCAAGGTCAGGAGGACGAGGAGCAGGTCCTGCTTGTGGCGCCGTATTGGCCCACTCGGACCTGGTTCCCAGAACTAATGCACCTCATGACAGCCCCTCCCTGGCAGATTCCTCTGAGGAAGGATCTACTGACGCAGAGAAGGGGGCACCCTGTGGCACCTGCATGCAGACCTCTGGAAACTTCATATCTGGTCTCTGGATGGGGCGCAGAGGTTCTACGTGACCTACCCCAGGAGGTAGTTGACACCACTTCGACAAGAGCACTGTCTACGAGACACACTTACGCCTTGAAGTGGAACCTGTTCATCGAGTGGTGTTCTTCTTGCCGAGAAGACCCCCAGAGATACCCAATCAGGGTCGTGCTTTCCTTTTTGCAGCAAGGGTTGGAGCAAAGGCTGTCTCCCTCCACCTTTAAAGTCTATGTCACTGCGATTGCTGCTAACCATGACACCGTGGAAGGGAAAATGGTAGGGAAGCATGACCTGGTCATCAGGTTCCTTAGGGGGGTGATAAGGTTAAATCCTCCCCAGCCCCCCTCTATACCCTCTTGGGACCTGTCTCTAGTGCTCAAAGCACTACAGCAGGGCCCATTTTGGCCTTTTTAGTCAGTTGAGCTGAAGTTTCTATTAATGAAAACTCTGCTCCTGCTTGCACTGGCCTCCATCAAGAGGGTAGGAGACCTGCACGCATTCCGGTCGCCGATTCGTGCCTAGAGTTTGGGACGGCTGACTCCCAGGTAATCCTGCCCCCGAAGTAGGCAGACCCAGCCCTAGCTTCGCTTTGTCCCGTCCAAGCCTTGAGATGGTACGTAGACTGGACACAAAGCTTTAAGACCTCAGACCAGCTCTTTGTCTGTTACGGTGGCCGGCAGAAGGGGAAGGCCTTCTCTAAGCAGAGGATGGCCCACTGGGTAGTGGATGCCATCACCCTGGCTTATCAGGCACAGGGTGTGCCCTGCCCGCTCAGGTTGCGAGCTCACTCTACTAGAAGTGTTACAACCTCCTGGGCGGTGGCTCGTGGCGCCTCGCTGACAGATATTTGTAGAGCAGCGGGCTGGGCAACCCCCAACACGTTCATTAGATTCTATAGCCTTCGTGTTCTCACCTCAAACGGGTAGAGGCACTGAGAGGCCTCGGTTTAGTGTCGGCTTGCTAAAACTGCTCCAGAGTGTCCGTACTGTAGACCCTGTCGAGCTCCTCCATCCCCTCGGCAGCCAGACGTGACGGAACGTCCGGTGCCAGGCCCTCACTCGATGAATCCATGAGAACCGGTAGAGGGCTGGGTTCCATACGTAGAGACCTAAGTGGATCCCATATGTGTAAAGTCCACGGTATAGCCTCAGAGCCCGTGTTTCCCCGGCAGACTTCTACCATTTCCAAGAGGGTTATAATCACTTCTAATCTGCCACATGCACCTAAACGGTTGTTCATATGTGTAAGTGCTTCCGAAACGTCCTTCGGGAAGGATGGGGCTTCCCCGACGTTCCTGTTCCAAGTGGTATGGGTACGTTTTCCCAGTGTTATCCAATCTCACTGAGTGGGTAGTGCTACGACAACAGTGACTGGTCTTCTTGTTGCGAGCCCCGGCCTACACCAAAAAGGGGCGCAGGAGGCTCGCACAGGACACTGGAAGGGGCAGCATCCATGGCGCTTTTGTAGGGATCCCAATTCGTCGGTCACCGACGTGTCGTCATGACTGCTGTACCACCACTGAGTGGCCAGGCCACGCTGTGATCAGTGGCAGCTGGATGCAATCATCGCATGCTAATGTGCATTGGCTCGTTTAGTTTACACCAGTTTAGTTTTAGTTGACTCCAAGGAAGCACAGAAATTAGCCACCTGGAATTAACAGTTTGCTAATATTTTCTTCCAAGACAACATGGTGGCTGACCTAATCACCCTCCATTAGGTCAGATTTTACAACATAGGTGTTGAATTCAAAGTTACGCTTTCCCATTTTTCCTTCTTCTAACACATCATCTTTGAGGACAAAATGTTCACTTGCTGCCTAATATATCCCACCCACTAACAGGTGCCGTGATGAAGAGATAAACATTTATTCACTTCACCTATCAGTGAATGTTATGCCTGATCAGTGTGTGTGTGTGTGTGTATGTATATATATATATATATATACAGTATATATATATATATATATATATAACGCATTCATTTCATTAATTAGTTATTAAAAAATAACGTGAAAGTATTTTAATGCACCCACCCCGCCCCAGACCGACATTACATTTCAATTACTTTTCAAACATTTGACTGTTGAGATGACACACATTTTGCAGGGCAACAACACACTGCATGATGCAGTCAATAAATGCAGTTATGTGCCCCTAAAATTCAAGATATTGAAAGAATTTGTGTCTCATATTTATATGATAAGCGATATCACACCAGCAGTGAGAGCAATATCACACGAGTGCTGTTTTTGTCCTGAATAGCATGAATGCAAATGTGATTTTATACAACAGATCAATAAATAAGAAGTTAATAATGTGTTACATTTTAAACACAATACTGTCTGTTTTGCTAAATTTTGCCAATGTTGTGCAAATCTGAGCAACAAAGCCATTTGAACGAATGGAATAATTGAATGATTCAATGACTTATTCATAAAGACATTTACCACCACCTACTGTCAGTTTTAGTTTCTTAGAGTATCATTTCATAAAAAAACATATTTCCATATAACAAATAATGATATGATTAATAATAATAATAATAATAATAATAATAATAAAAAGGATAGTCACCCAAAAATGAAAATTCTGACATAATTTACTCACCCTCATGTATTTTCCCTCATGCCTTTTCAAACCTGTATGACTGACTTTCTTTTGTGGAACATAAAATAAGGTATTTTGAAGACTGTTGGTAACCAAGCTGTTTTGGTTACCAATGACTTTCAATGTATGAACAAAACATTTTTCGTTTGAGAAACGTTTCTCAAATTAGGCTACCTTCTTTAATGTAGTTTATGTTAGGCCATTGTAGCCTAAATGTGTAATAAATGTTATGTTTAATCAAATAAAATAAGCTACTTTTTGTAATATCTCCTTGATACTTTTCTCATTTAACACAATAATGGTTTTAAATTATCTTTTGGGGGTATTTTCACAGACAAATTTAATTTGCAATTAATTTGATTAATTCATTGCTACATCATGTAATTAGATTAAAAAAATATATTGATTGACAGCCCTTATGTGTCACGCCCCCGGGCTGATCTGTCTGTTAAATTATTTAGGCTAAGCATCAACATTCACAAACCACTGTCCATTTTTAACAGAAAAGAATGCAACGTGCTCGTAATCACAACTTCATAAGTGCGAAATAGGAAGTTTCTGATAGCATGTGAAGACAACAGAGAAGCGCGCTTGCTCAGCACAGTGGAGTGCATCGTTTTGTTAACTTTGTAGTTTATTATTTTGAGTCGTTTGGGACGCGGTAACACACAGCCCCTTTCACAATATATTGCTTTACAGATCTATCACTCTTGCTGCTCAAAAATGTTCACGCAATCATGCAGCACGTATCATAAGTTCCACGCTCCGGCGCGGTTAGTGCTCACACTCACTGATCTATATATAACTGAACTGCGCTCTGGCCCACCTCTTCCAATCGAGCCAGGGACGGCTAAATGAACCATGCCCGAGCGTGGCACGGAGCGATCACACTAGTCAAACGAACCGGGCTTTGGGGGTCAAACACGCTCGGTGTCTACCCGCCTGCACCCGCACCCGCACTGGCCCATCAAGTGTTGTCCCGTGTCACACTCTGCGGCGTTGGGTCCCGCGATAGTGCAGGTCTCTACTCGGAAGGTGCCTGTTATAATGTTATGATGGAGGCTCTGGACTTTGAGCATAACTTGTTTTTCTATAACAAACTATGAAAAATTGTCTATAAAAACGTTAATTCCCTGGCAGTGCAAATAGCCATTGATATATATATTTACTTTACATTTAGTAATTTAGCAGACACTTTTATCCAAAGCGACTTACAAATGAGGACAATAAAAGCAGTCAAAACTAACAAAAGAGCAACAATATATAAGTGCAAGTGACACGTCTCGGTTAGCCAAATGCAGTACATGTAGCAAGGTGTGTGTGTATATATATATTATACACACACACATATACACACAAACACATTCTTGATAAGCTGCTGTGAAAACGTGGGAAAAGCCGACGAGGAAGAAGTTGGAGTGAAACGATCTTTATATAGGCGTAGCAAAATACTTAATCGCTCCGTCTATAGCGCATTGTGATTGGATGGTTTACGCTGTCTATACAGGAGACAATCCAATGGGCCACTGGCTGCTCGCTGTCCCTGCGTGATGGTCCTTGGCAAAAAAAAACACAAACATTTTATCGGCCCCTTAAGTGTGTCGGCCCACCGGGAAAATGCCCTGCCGACTGGTCAAGAGATCCATACTAATAGTGTTGGAGTTTGAATGTTAGATAATAGTGAGTGTAATCCAAACATAACACATGCAAGCATCTGACTTTTCTTGTATAGAAAGAGACATGGAAAAACATATTAAGCATGCATGATTAACTGTCTTGTCTGGTTTTGTTTCAGTTCCTCCAGTTCTGTCAGTGCCTCAGCAGTCCTTCAATGCCACCGCCGACTATCAGGAGTCAGTGACATTCACCTGCATCACGTCCGGCTCCCCTGACCCTCAGGTGACCTGGTACTGGTGGGTAACAGTAACGTTTGTCAAGAGACACTCTGCATGTTGCTACTTGGTCCTAAAATCTACAAACCCTGATGATCCAGCGATGTGTTAGTGCAGCATGTAGGGCGCTGGACATCACCGCTAGTATATAGGGCACAGTGTCCTTGATTCATCTATTCTATCTGTATGCAAATGGCAGCAGGTCTGTGGCGTCAGGCCGTGAAGAGCTGATGTGTGCTTTGATCAGACGTTCAAAGCTTTCCATGATAACTGAGTTGAGGGCCGGAAATGTTCAAACTCTGAAATCTTTCTATTGTGTTAAAGGTCCCATGGCATGAAAATTTCACTTTATGAGGTTTTTTAACATTAATATGAGTTCCCCTAGCCTGCCTATGGTCCCCCAGTGGCTAGAAATGGCGATAGGTGTAAACCGAGCCCTGGGTATCCTCCTTTGCCTTTGAGAAAATGAAAGCTCAGATGGCCCAATCTGGAATCTTCCCTTTATGTCGTCATACGGGGAAAGGTTACCTCCCCTTTCTCTGATTTGCCCGCCCAGAGAATTTGGCCCGCCCATGAGAAAATGAACTACTACCGTGAGGCGAGCGCAATATTTTTTTTTCCTCGAGAGACATCATGGCTTGCAAACGAGCGAAGCATGGCAGTTGCCCCGCCTCTCTCCTCCTCATTAGCATTTAAAGCTACAGACACAGAAATGGCACGTCCTAAGGAAAGCTCATTGTGGGACTGGCTCGTAGTGGCTGAAATTCTGCACCAAGGCTGAATTTCGGGAAAGAGACTTCATATACAGTACTAGGGACCACTTAGGCCTATATAAAAGCATCCAAAAAGCAGCATGTCATGGGACCTTTAAGGAGAAATTGAACGTGCCAGTGTAAAATGTTTGATAGCTGACATGTGTGTAGCAAAACTGTACAAAAAAAAAATGTATTGAACTGTTGTATAAAATCAATATCACATTTGCAATCATGATATAACAGAAAAAAACAGCACCTATGCTAGTGTGGTATTGCTAAACTATATCATATGAATAAAAGAGGGTAATTTTTGCGCTCATATCTTTAATTTTAGGAGTGTATAACTGCATTCTAATAGGGTACATCACACAGTCAATCATCCTGCATTACGTTTGTCAGCAACTGCATCAGTGCAAGATGATGTACAGGTCTGGGCCAAATGAATGTGTTAAATCAGCAGCCGTAATAAAGACATTTGTGTTTCTCATGGATGCAACTGAATCAGAGTGAACGTGAAGGTCCAGAGGTCTTCAGTGGGAGTGATGTTATAACATCTTAAACCATCAGTCTGAATATTACAAGCGCAAAGTGCAGCATAATTACAGTTTTCACCGGTTTAAACCCGTGAAAGATTGGCACGATAGTTTTTTAAATTGCTGAAATTAAAGTGCATTAAATCAAAGGTATTTTTGCCGAACAAAGTTCTCTTTAATTGTTTGAAGCTATAAAGCTACTGTGTAGATTCACAAATTAATATTTATGCAAGGCTTTTAAATGCTGTTCAATTTAACAGACAGGATCTCGTAGGTTTCAATTAATTATTATTAATTTGATTAATATGATTATTAAGTTCTATAGAATTCAGTGCAGTTAACATTTATGCAGTGTTTAATCATAGTTATTATTAGATATTTATCATTATATATTAAATATCATTAATTTCCCTATATTGCAATACACACTTATTTGTGAATTGCAATATATCAAAAATAAACATCACCAGTTGGTTATTAAATAAATAAATAAATTGCATTTCCTAAAGTAAGATACCATTTATATTTGATACATGTTTTCATTTGTGTTGTTGCCATAAAATGAATTACTTAATATTATTAATTCGATAAATAAGCATTAATAAGTAATATTCTAATTAAGCAATTCAGTGCAGTAAACAATGATATCATAAAAAGCTATTTTATTTAAAAAAATATGCACTTTTTATATTCATTATCATCATCATATGAAATATATATATATATATATATATATATA